AATGTGGAACAAAACTCAAAATTATAAAAAAGACCAGGCTTAGTGGTCTGATAGAGATTTGTGAAACCCCAAAGACTATGGCCCCTAGTCACCCTTCAGGCCTGGCATTGAACTCACCCTCATGGCTAAACTTTCAGCCAAAGACAAGCCTACAAGATGAACAAGTATACCAGGGAGGTGCAACCTTAAAAATCTCAATGATGAGAGATCAAAAGGCCAGCATTTGCAGGTAGAAAGTTCAGAAGGCAGGAATGCATAGGAAAGGACACAAGGAAAAGATAACCACAGGGAGAAAGTGGGAAGAAATACTATTTGATCCAGCAATCACACTACTAGGTATATATCCTAAAGATATTTATGGATATTTCAGTCAATGACACAAAACAAAATATGTATGAATTGTTGAATGGAAAACAAATTTGCTCTGTAAAACTTTCACCCAAGTCACAATTAAAAAAAAAAAAAAGAAAAAGATTTGAGCTAGTCTTCCACTCTGATGCCCTCTTGTTGCGAGAGATTAGGGTTTCCTTAAATGCTGTCAAGAAAGTTCCATGGCTTTCAAAGTCTTGACTTGGTGATCAATTCTATGGAACTTAGGCTGTTTTCCTTACATCTCTCTAGTGCCAGACTGTAAAAAACGGTGTGGCTGAGGCACCTTACCTCCTATAACCTCATGAAGGGGGAGAATCACCATCAGCAGCACCAGCCTAAGGCTGATCATTAGGTAGATGTCAGATGTGCCTCCTCTCTCCAACCTTATTACCATTTCTAACACCAGCCGTCCCTCCCACGGCACTTTCTACTTCTCTGCTGGGTTTGACAATTTGTTGTAATGGCCACAAAGAATTCACAAACAATATGGGTCTTATTAGGGAACTAATAGGAGGCATAGGAGCTCTGGTAGCATAGTGGCTAAAGCACTTGACTGCTAACCAGAAGGCTGGCGGTTCAAACCCACCAGCCACTCCTTGGAAGGAAGGTTGGGCAATCCTACTCCCGTAGTGATACTGCCTCGGAAACCCAAGGAGGGGTCGTTATGAGTTGGGGCTGACTTGGCGGCATATAACAACAACAACAACCATAGGAGGCACGCTATTTTCAATTGCCTCATATGCATGTGAAGGCTGGACAATGAATTGTTGTTGTTATGTGCTGTGGACCGACTCACAGCTACCCCTCCTTGGGTTTCCGAGGCAGTATCACTACAGAAGTAGTTTGCCCCATCTTCCTTCTGAGGAGTGGCTGGTGGGTTTGAACTGCCAGCCTTCTGGTTAGCAGTCAGGTGCCTTAGGCACTATACTACCAGAGCTCCTGGACAATGAATAAGGAAGACCAAATAAGAGTTGATGCCTTTGAATTGTGGTGTTCATGAAGAATGTTGAAAATACCATGGACTGACAGAAGAACGAACAAAAATATAGCTGGAATGCTCCTTGGAAGCGAGAATGGGCAGACTTCATCTCACTTTGGTTGTTTTGTCAGAAGGGATCATTCCCTGGAGAAAGATATCATGCTTGGTAAAGTGGAGGGTCAGTGAAAAAGGGGAAGACCCTCAACAAGATGGATTGACACAGTGGCTGCAACAACAGGCTCAAGCATAGCAGGGATTGTCCAGATGGCACAAGACCAGGCAGTGTTTCATTCTGTTGTTACAAAAACGGCAAGGAGGCCACATGTTCCGACCTCCTCTAATCCCACAAAGGGAAGACAGGGTTACCAGCAGTAACCCAAGGCCTATTACTACCAGGCCAGACATGTTGCCTCCCTCCAGTCCTTTCTCCAACCGTTCCTCCCAGAGCACCCACCACCTCTCTCCTGGGTTCGATAATTCGCTGCAGTGGCCACACAGAACTCACAGATTACAGGGTTTATTAGGGAAGCACCAGGCTACAACTCAAGTTCAGGAAGAACGCTCAGTCTCTCTCCCAGCCCACCGTCCCTCAGCCAAGAGTCTCTCACAGTCTCTTTCCCAGCAGTGCTGGTCCCTCAGTGTCTCACTCAGCAATGCGTGTCTCTTGCGTCTCTTTCCCAGCAGCACGTGTCTCTTTCAGGGGCGCGTGTCTCTTTCAGCAGCACGTCTTCCTCCACCAGCAGTCAGAGAGAGTTCTGCCTCCAGGAGGCCTCCTTTTGAGTCCGGAAGGGTAGTCAAACTAGCCAATCACAGCATCAGAACTCTAAGCACATGAGAGAGAATGGGCACCTCCCAGAACATTGTATTGTGCCACTCCCAACAGAAATAACCCAGGTGGATAGCTTCAGCAATCAGGGGCTGCTCAGTTGCTCATACAAAATCCCACCCTGGAGTTTACAAAGACTTATGGGTAGAAAAGCCACACTGAGTAATTTACTACACCGCAGTTGTACATAGGGTTGCTATGAGTTGGAGCCAACTTGACCTAACACTACGATCAGGATTGGAGGAAGAATCACTAACAACCTGAGATACGCAGACAATACAACTTTGCTTGCTGAAAGTGAGGATGACTTGAGGCACTTACTGATGAAGGTTGAAGAATACAGTCTGCAGTATGGATTACATCTCAATATAAAGAAAACAAAAATCCTCACAACTGGACCAATGAGTAGCATTACAATAAATGGAGAGAAGATTGAGGTTGTCAAAGAATTTACGTTGCTTGGTTCTAAGATCGATGCCAATGGAAGTAGCAGTCAGGACATTAGACGACGTGTAGCATTGTGAAAGTCAACCGCAAAGGAACTGTTTCAAGTGATGAGCAGCAAGGATGTCTCCTTGAGGACTAAGGTGTGCCAGACAGAAGCCATGATATTTCCAATCACCTCGTATGCATGTGAGAGCTGGACAATGAATAAGGAAGACAGAAAAAGAGTTGATTCTTTTAAGCTGTGGTGCTGGAGAAGAATGCTGAAAGTACCATGGACAGCTAAAAGAACTAACAGATCTGTCCTGGAGGAAGTGCACCCGAAATGTTCCTTGGAAGTGAGAATGGCCAGACTTCATCTCACCTATTTTGGTCAGGTTGTCAGAAGGGACCATTCTTTGGAGAAGGATGTCATGCTTGGTAGGGTGGAGGGTCGATGAAAGAGGGGGAGGCCTTCCACGAGATGGATTGACACAGTGGCTGCGATGATGGGCTCAAGTATAGCAAGGACGTGGAGCTGGCGCAGGATCGGGCAGTGTTTTGTTCTGCTGTGCATGCGGTCGCTATGAGTCTGAAATGACTCGACAGCACCTAACAAACAAAAAACAACAATACGATACAACTCAGGATCAAGAAAGACTCAGAATACAGTTTGTGGGTAAGGACAGCCTCTTTTTAGCTATGCCCATAGGCAAGCCTCTCCCTGGCCCTAACCTTTTTGCCTTTTGGGCAGGCCGGGTCTTTGCCCTGCTTGGGCAAGTGTTACAAAGCTTTTTAGCTTCACTGATAAGTACTCAGAGACACCCCATTTTGCCAGTAAGCCTCTTGCCTGAAGGCACTTAGCTTTCTTGCTTCTTGGGCCTGGAAGCCCACCAGGCCGTCTCCTGCCAGTGTCCTGTTTCTGTTGCTGGCATTTCTATGCTGCTGCTTCTCATCACCTCTCAGCTCCAGTGTTACAGCGCTCTCTCTTTGTATCTATTAGATCAAGAAGGTTCACAGTGCAGGGACCCCAGGTCCAAAGGACTTACTCTGCTCCTGGCTCTTCTTTTTTGATGGGTGGGAGATCCCTCTTTCTGCCTCTGAGGTGGCTTGTTTTAACCCTACCAGGATGGCAAAACTGACCAATCCCCTACTTATGGTTCCATACACCATATTTGCATAGTCCCACTTCCACACAGGTGCCTTATTTATATTATGAGCAAGCTATCCAATCCCCTTGTTGGGCTACAAGCACTCATTTACACCAGCCACTCCTCGGAAGGAAGGTTGGGCAATCTACTTCCACAGTGATACTGCCTCGGCAATCCAAGGAGGGGTCTCTATGAGTCGGTCCGACTTGTCGGCACATAACAACAACAACAACAGCCCAGTCATTTGATAGGAGTTACAAAGACTATAGCTAGAAGGGTCATGTTAAGTAATTCACTACACTACAGCCAGAGATACTGCACTAGTGCCATGAGGTTACTGAGGAAGGGTCTATCATGGTCCCAGCCCTCAAAAACCTAATAAACTGTATACAATATTATTATTATTAGTAGTAGTATACTGTTTCCATATGATAGAACCTACTAAGGTCTAGGAGGGTAGGGACTATGTTTTGTTCACCATTGTCCCCAGGGCCTTTAATATTGTTAAATGAATGTAATTAGAGGCTTGAGATATGAAGATGCAGGATGTGGCTATGTGTTATGACAAATAAGAATAGCATGCATCCAGAGAAGGGGAGCTGGGGCTTAGTGTGGTTGTAAAGTCCACCCTCGCAGAAAACAAAGACAGCATACTTAACCAAGGTGAGGTACTAGATGACAGAAGTAGAAGCATCAGCTGTAGGAGATTTCATTCCTGTGTCTATGGTCTTTAGTCCCATACCTATTGAGTTCTCTAAGTACACAACTGCTTTGGGGAATGAGGCATTGTGAAGTAAGAGATGGAGAGTGGAAGGTCTGAATTCAGATTCAGCCACTAGGTGACCTTGAGCAATTCTGAGGCTCAGTATTCTCATATGCAGAATGGAAGCAGTAGTGCTATTTTATACAGTTGTCTTGAGGACCAAAAGATATAATACGTATGAAGAAGCATACTTCCCTTAATCCGTCAGCATAGCGGGCAGCTGTGAGAAATGGGGATGCAGGATAGAAGAGACAGATCCTAACAGCATTCTAGGTTCTAGGAACCCCAGGCCCTGCCCATAGACATTCTCCTGTTATCTTTGTCCTCCTCAGCCACACACGTGCACAGACACTAGCTGCTGTTCAGGAGCTGAGTTAATTGGTTTAAAGTCTCTTTCTTATCTTTTCCCCTGGCAGGCAGTAGCTGTGCTGGTAGCAGTACCGACACAGACAGAAGCAGCTCTGACAAGGACAGAGTTTCCCCACCATGGCTGGTACTCAACCGCTGGCCAGCGTTGGGCGCCGGTTCCGGATTCGCAGCCTCCTGGCCCGACAGTGCCTGGCAGAGTTTCTGGGTGTGTTTGTGCTCTTGGTAGGCAGGGTAATTGGGGGAAGGGAATAAGGGAGGTGGGTAAAAGTTTTTGGCTCCTCCTGTTGTCGCTGTCTCTACCTGTTGGAGCCCTACTTTCTTTCAGCTTTCCATCACTTTTCTCCTTTGCCCCATCTTGTCTCTCCTAATCACTCCTCCTCTTCTGCTTCCCTTCCCATCTGCCCCCTTCCTTCTCGTCTTTACCCTTCTTTCTCCAGTTATCTCACTCTTTACCCTTCCCTCTTTCTGCTTTTCTCCCTTCCTTGCTGGTCCCTCATGTCCGCTCACCTCTCTTGGTCTCTCCTTTAACTTTCCAAGCCTCTGTCTCTCGTTATTCTCCCGGCCTCCTTGCTCCTCGTCTCCTTCTCCCATCAGCTCCTCACTCAGGGTGCTGTGGCCCAGGCTGTCACTAGTGGAGAAACCAAAGGCAACTTCTTCACCATGTTTCTGGCTGGCTCTCTGGCTGTTGTCATAGCCATCTATGTGGGTGGCAATGTCTCAGGTGAGGAGGGTGGGGCCTGGTCTTCAGAGGGAGTGGGTCTTGCATGTGAATGTGGTACGTGGTGATGGTGAAAGGCAGAAACTGCAGTGACTCATGGACATTATCTCCTCGAGAGTGGCTGGTACCCTGGACTAAGATATGCCTTTGGCCACCTCCCGCCCCTCCCCTTTTGTATTTCTCCACTTCCCTTCCTCATCTACACAGAGATCTACTGCAGGGTATCGAAGGTGAGTGCTCTCCTTTGGCGTCCCCTCTAGGGCTCATCTCTGTATCCATGTGCCTGGATGGAGCCTTGAGACACTATGTGTTATAGTGGAAAGAGCAGACAGACCCAGGTTCAAACCTTGGTTTCACTGTGTGACCTTGGTAACCTCTTTAAGGTCAACTTCCTAATGTAAATGGCAGGAATGACAGTATCTACCTTTAGATAAGAGAAAGAGTAGTTAACCTGCTGACAGCACCTGGCAGCAGGCAGTTGATGGATGTTGGTTTTCTTTCCTTCTCCCTGAAGGGGCCCACATGAATCCAGCCTTCTCCTTGGCCATGTGCCTCCTGGGACGCCTCCCCTGGGCCAAACTCCCCATCTACTCCTTGGTGCAGCTGCTATCTGCTTTCTGTGCTTCGGGTGTCACCTATGCTCTCTACTATGATAACAGAGGGAACAGGATTAGAGGCACCTGGTTTGGGTTGGGGTGCCGTGGAACAGTTTTAGATGAGCAAAGATGGAAACCCTGGGTGTCCCCCTCCCCACAGATGCCCTACAGAACTATACAGGTGGGAACCTGACAGTGACCGGCCCCAAGGAGACAGCCTCTATTTTTGCCACCTACCCAGCCCCCTATCTGACCCTGAACAATGGCTTCCTGGATCAGGTAGGTGTGAGAGGAGAGACCTGGTAGAGCTCCAACCTTTGCCGCTGTTCCCGTGGACTCCAGTTTATTGTTCAGGCACTGGATGGGGTGTGGGGTTAGTTCTATCCTGGTTCTCACCTCCAGCCCAGGTGCCACTGTTTATAAAGCCAAATGACTTGGGGGTAGTGGTGGCCTGGAGTGTTTGGCTGAGAGAGGGCAGATAGGATACCTGGAAGCTGACCCATCAGCTCTACCTCTGTCACCTCCAAGGTTCTAGGTACTGGGATCCTGATTGTGGGCATCTTGGCCATCCTGGATACACAGAACAAAGGAGTGCCTGCAGGCTTGGAGCCTGTAGTGGTGGGGCTGCTGATCCTGGTCATTGGGCTATCCATGGGTGCCAACTGCGGGTTCCCACTCAATCCTGCCCGGGACCTAGGCCCACGACTTTTCACCTACGTGGCTGGCTGGGGCCCTGAAGTCTTCAGGTGCGTGACTGCTTTTCCTGGTGCTGTTGTTATTCCACTCTGCTCTGCTAAGGGCTCTATCCTGGCTCCCCAGCTCTCTCCTTTTAAATAGTTATCTTGGCCTCTTAGGACAGTGTCCCTCCTTCAAGCCCCAGATTCTCCCTTGCCTCCCCTTTCACTAAAGCAGTAAGATTTAAAGGTTTGTCCTTGGGTATATAATATTACCTGTGTGGGCATTAGTAAACCCATCAGCAAAATGGGTTGTTGCTGCTATGTGCCATCGAGTTGGACCCAACTCATAGTGACTCCTCTTTGGGTTTCTGAGGCACTATCATTATTACAGAGGGAGCTCTGGTGGCGTAGTGCCTAAGGCACTTGACTGCTAATCAGAAGGCTGGTGGTTCAA